AATATATAAAAAAAGTAAATATATATTAATAGCGTACGCAATCTCGTGAATGCAAAATGTAAAGTGTAAGTAGAACAAAGGTATAAAATTAAAAACAGATATAATAAAACAAATTATACATCTCTCACTCTGTCTCTGCCAAACGCATTCATGGCTAAAGTGGGAGAAAAAAAATTATTTTAAAAAAGGTATATACATAAATATAATCGCGCGCGCCTTGTTGGTATAAAAAAATATACATGCGAATTCGCTATTTCATTTTGTGCCTCGTGCATGTATGTCCACGCGAGACCCTCAGACCGAATATTTGTTTTAAAACTAAAGATTAACAGTTATGAAAAATGTTATACTAAACACGTTAAAATAACATATATAACACTTGCAGTTGCATATAAGTGATATGTGATATGTTACTGTCACCGATCATCAGCCTAAACAATAAAAAAATGATGAAAATTTACTTGAACACATAGTATAGTAACATTTTTTTTTTTTTTTTTCAGTAAAAGTTGTTTTTTCCAATAAAATAAGGCCAAAAATTCGTGCAAATTAGAAAAATTATAAAAGTAACAAGGACATTTTTTAAGTTTCATTATCATGAGTACTGTTTATATCTTTAGTCTTAAGAGTGTTACTTAAAGTGGTGAATATATAATAAATTTACAATGCCCTGGTTTAATGTACGTTTGAAAAGAAATTAATTATTACGCTTTATCAGTATACTTGTTGTGATGACAAAAATTTTAAAAGAAAAGTACTTAAGTAATTTATAAAATATCAAACAAAAGAATAAAGCTTACGTTTACATGAAAAAATCTTAAAAAATTGTTCATACCACAGCGTATTCATTTATTTATTATAGTCCAATAAAGTATTAGAAAATGTATTTAAAAATAAAAATTAAAAAAAAAGTATTACAACAATAATAAGTAGGGTATAATATTATCTAAGTTAAAACAGAAAAATTTTTTTATAAATTAATTAACTAGTGTACACTATGAATAATTTTAATTAATTTAACTAAATTAATTGTATTCCATTTCTTAATTTAAGGATTCTAAAAATTGAAATAGACAATTAAAACGCATCTCTAGCTCTATGTAAGAAAATACGTTGACATAGTTAATTTTTCTAGTTTGCACTAATTTTTAAATTCTCTTTATTCGTGCTGCACAATAGTTTGTGTTGTTCGTTAGATATTCCATTTTTTTCGTTATATGTTTGCTCGTTAAAGTAGTAAAATCAGTAGATGCGTGACTTATCGGTAAATGTTTTTCACAATATATATGAATTATTTTAGCAAAAAGCAAAAAATTGAAAGAGTGCAACGCTTATAAAATGGTAGAAGATGTTTTGGGGAAGGCTGTAATGGATTTTTAACGCATTGACAAAAAATTTTCAAAACAATTAAATTTTTAATCTGGAAAGCATATTTCACGAAATTGGGCAATAATTTTTTCAATTTAACAGCATAACTAATTAAATTGAAAGACTGCAGCGATATATTTCACAACTTCATACGTAATGCATGATACGATGTAAATAATTTATACAGTTTTAACTAATCTGAAAATGCTTGTGAATAAACTCATAAAATATTCACTCAATATAAGGCTTATCAGTTTTTTTCAGAAAAATATTTATTCACCAAGACAACATAGAAATTCAGATCGGCCTTTCCATGAAATAGTTAAATAATTTTAAAACATCGATATGGATATAATTATTAATACAAAAATGCACGTAATACAAGAAAAAAATCGATGTTGAATATTCACGTCACAACCGTTGTTGATATTGAATAGTGAAATTTTTTATTATTATAAAATTGGAAAATACCAATTTCTTCTGGAGCTACGGTCATGAATCGTTAAGCCGTAGGGCAATAAATTATTACTGTTACTAGACTTTAAGAGTCATATTTTAAGAGAATAATACGTCACACAATGGAATCTGTCAAATAAATATCAACATCCTTTTAAACCACTTATTTATCACAACGATGGATTTAATAAGATAAGTGCAACGATATTTATTATCATTATACTTATACATCACACATAAACAACTTATTTCAAAGCTTAGGGTACGCATCGTTACCGCGAATACGCTAATGAGTTTCAAATTAACAATTTAATTTCACAAAGGATAGACGCACTCTTTAACGATACTTTCTTTACAACTTATCACGTGAATGTTGCAT